CTGTAATTGCTGGGTTGAGAATTTCCACTAAATAGCCAACCAAAATTTTTTCTTTCTCAACAGCCTTTTCCTTCACTTTCAGTAGCAATATTTTCTGTATTTAGAACCATATTACAGATTTTGCAGCCCATTTGTTGATTGATGGTAGGGGAATTGTTATATCATCTTCGTTTATTACCACTTATCCATATTTCTTCATAAATTCCATTAACTGGAAAATTTTGTTTTTTCTTTGCATTATCCGAAAATGTTCAAATTCACAGCTATCATATAAAGCAGCAGTTCTCAACATTTTCACTAATGCATGCCATCTAAACAAAAACTGAAAAACTTTAGTACCACCACTACATTTCACAATGATTATTTTTCAATTTCTCAATAGAAATATTAAAAAATATATATTTTGACATTGGCACAATCTATTGGCTTTTGGTATTAAATATGCACACATTAAAAATATTAGATTACAGATTGGTTTCTATTTTATTTATCAAAATGTAATTTATAATACTTTAATTCTAAAATTAAGTGTGAAATTTGATCCTGTTTTTAAGAGAGGAAATTGTCTTTATGTCTGGTCATATTTTACATAGTGTTAACTATAAATTAGGATCCACTTTTCATTTTGTTCTGTATTTATTTTTCAAATATAATCTGAAAGAAAATCCTTGTGTACACAAATAGGTTGTGCGGAATGGTAGCAAAATTTTAATAGCTTTATTTGAAATGCCCTTAATTTTTTTTTCCGGTTCAACGAAAAGTTAACAAGTGTGTTATTTTTTAAATCTTCAGTTAGATCACACGGAATTTCTACCAATTGTTCTTTTTCTTCACAAGACAAAATTTCAGATACATTTGAACAAATGGTCTAACCATTTTCTTTTCATATTCTCAAGAAAATACTTTGTGAAATTATTTATTAATAAAAAAAACAATGAGTTTTAATGTCGGATGCTAATTCTTCTTTTAATTTCAAATTATTTCTTCTAGAAAACTTTCTAAAAGCCGCAAAAAAGCTTAAAATATTATTAACCAATTTTTTTTATTATTAGCTCGAGTTTTTATCATTGTATTTATTTTATCGCTAATGGTAAATGAGTTAATACTGTGTCCCTTCAATCTTAAATTTAATTCATTTAACTTTCCAAAAATATCAGCTAAATATGCTAAACTCGCTAACCATAATTCACTGAAAATTTGAATTTATGATCGAAGTTTAAAAAGATGATTTAAAACTTTGCCTCTGGATGACCACCTGATTTCGGAATGTAACAGAAGCTTTTCATGTTCACTGCCCATCCCTTGGCATAAAATCTTGAATATTCTTAAATTTAGAGCTCGGTTATAATAAAATTAACAATTTTCACAACTTGATTCAAAATGATTTCAGGTTTTCGGAGATTGTTTTGGCTACTAAAGCTTCACAATGAATGGAGCAGTGAGTAAATTTAGTTTCAGCTGTGACTTTCTTTATTTGAGAAATAACACCAGAATACTTTCCTGTTAAAGCCTAAACTCCGTCACTGCATACGGTGATGCATTTATTCCAAGAAATTAATTATCACACGTAAAATTGTCAATTACTTTGAAAATTTATTAGCAGTATCTCTACCATGAAGAAACTTACAAAATAAATACTCTTTGGCAATTCATTTATCTTCTCTAAAGCATATGTAAATTAATAATTGAACAAAGTTCGTTATAACAGTGCTTTGCAAAATACTCACTATGTTTATTTTTTTTTTTTTGAATAAGTGTCTCTGTTATGGAATTTGCCATTTCATGAATTACCCGACTTAACTCTATCATTTGATAATGGAATATTACTAATTTAATTTTGTTGAATAACGTTAAAACAATATCTTTAGCTGCTGGTAATAAAATTTTTTCTTCAAAAGTGTGAGACTGCCCAGTCTTGGCAATTCTTAGGCTTGCTAGGTAATTAGCTTCCAAACTTTTCCTGAAGAGTAAAAACCTTTCATTACTTGTTTACTATTTGTTAACTCCAATAATTTTCTCTTAAAATATTCTTCAGATTTATCCTTTAAATTGACAGGCTTAGATTCAAGATGACTGTTATGAAATGATGGTTTCATACTTCGACTGAATAATAGTTCACTGCAAACAACACATTGAGGTTGAGGGTCAATTTCATCTCTATTCCAAATAAATCCAATTCAGTAAGTAGTCTTATTGGTAGTAGACTGTCCTGGTTCCATCAGCTGTAAATCATCTTTTTTCCACTTATTCAATCCTAGCCATTTTTCCATTTTGAAAATCTAGGTTTGTTTTATTAGTTTTTTACAAATATTTAAATGCATAATATGTTACGAGTTATTCAAAATCAAACAACAATATTCTCAAATGGCTTGGGAAAGTAAGGATTACAAAGCAACAAGAAGACAAAATACCTGCTGTTAAGAGACATCAAATCGATGTTAAAAAAAAAAAAAATCTTTGAAAATAGAGCAATATGAGCCGGGAAATGGTGGCAACATAAAGTGTACACATGCTAATAAATCGATCGACTCTAAAAGAATTAATGAGATACTATTATCTTTTTACAGGAACTTATTTTTATTTCCTATTAAACACAACTTTCACTTGTATTATTCCTTTTAAAACATCATTTCTGACGAATTTTATTGTGTCTATGGCTAAAAGAACATTTGTGAAAATAAAAACAGATTATTTTACTACAATCTGTAAGCAGCTATTGAACTTGAACAAAGCTCAGATCGCATAAATTTACAAATGTGAGAGAAAAAACTTAAAAGAATGTTGGGGTATTTAATTTTTGAATTTAATAGTTAAAATACTTTGCTTCTTTGCTTACCATCTATTTTTCTCTTGCATATCACCAATTGAGAATCGCTGACCTAAAGCTTAGCTAGTGTCTGCTAGACCCTATTGGCGATGTATCATGACATTGGGGAGTAAAGACATGTTCTTCCACTAAATTCTGTCTTGCTTCTTTCTCACGCTGGTAGACTTAAACTTGAATTTTATTAGTATTCTTTTTTATTAGCTCAAAAGGGCATTAGCCCGCATGATCTCAAAATGGGATTTTGCACTGTTCACTATAAAAGGCTGTATGACTTTTCAAATTACTGCCACCAAGTATTATTGCCCATTATTATTTTCAAAGAAATTAAATATTGAAGTATCTGAATTTGTATACACTCTTTTGAAAAAAAAAAATCAAAGCACCATGAAGGAAGTGGTTGTTTTTGATGAAATTGAATAGCTCATACACAAATCTTAAAATGATTAAAAATCAAGGTCATAATACCTGTTCACAGCTCACAATCACCTATTGAGTGTTCAAATTAGTAGTTGGTCGAACCGCCCCTGACGGCAATACATGCTTGAATTCATTGAAGTAAGGAGTTGTAGAGGTTCCTAGTGTCATCCTGCGAAACATTCTTCCAGGCATTCATCAGTTGTTGCTCCAGATCTGCGATATTTTGTGCTGCCCGAATCTGGTGGCTTACTATGTCCCAGACATGCTCGATTGGTGAAAGGTCTGGTGATCTTGCTAGCCAAGAAAGAGTACCAATTGTGAAGAGACAGTCCAGAGATATGAAAGCAGTATGTGGCCTGGCATTATCTTGTTGGAAAATGGCCCCAGGATGACGTGCCATGAAGAGTAATGCAACCGGCCACAGGAAGGTATCAACAAATTGTTAAGCTGTTAAAGATGTATGGAGGATGACTAAAAATGACCTGTTCTTTAGAAAAATAGCACCTTGCACCATCACACCAGGGGTAGAAACCTCGCACCATCACACCAGGGGTTATGGCTGTATGCCTTTGTAAAACAAAGACTGATTGGGATTGCTGGCCCCGTCCTCTCCAGACATGAACACGTTCATCATCTGCTTCAAGAGTGAAGCAGGATTCATCGCTGAACACTATACGATGCCAGTCTCATGGCAGCCTTGATGATTGGCTGCAACACCACTCCAGATGACTCCGGCGATGTTGTGGGGTCAAAGGCAAATGTCTTAAAGGCCTCTGTGAGCATAACCCAACCTCGGACAAGTGCCGTGAGATGGTGAATAGTACCACGTAGAGGTATAGACGTGGCTGTAGTGCATTTAATAGTCGACAGTGATACTGTTGGAGCGGTTCGGGCCTGACGAATAATCATCCTATCTTGTCTCGCATTTGTGATCCTTGGCGTTCCAGAGCCTTCATTTCATCACAAATTTCCTTGTAGCAACCATTGCTGCCAACATCTCAGCACAGCAGTGTCTATACATTGCAGGTGGCGGCCTATTGCTCGATATGACCACTGCTTCACGCAACCTTACAATGCGACCACGTTCGAAGTCGTTTAGTTTTTTTTGCAAAAGCGTGTATGTTAATTGCATTGTGTAAAAACAATACCTAGACCCATCAAATTTTGAATGATTTAGCTCTCCACCTGAACATGCACACCTGGATGTCCAAATTTTCAATTTTATATTTCCTATTTTGTAAAATTTTAATGAATTTTCGTTTAGCAAACTTAACAATTAGAAAGCCAGCAGTGGCAACACTATGGAATAAAACATTTTTATCTCCAATGCAGGAGTCTGTCTATCAAATATTCTAAAGATATGCTTTTTTTTAAAAATATTTTGTGATTTTGATGTTGAATTGAACTTTATGTGGCATAAATGTAAAGAACATGATATTTAATAAATAAAGTTAATGCACAAAATGTTAATAATAGACCAGAAAAAAGTAATAAAGCTAAAAAGATGAAAAAACGGGTTTAGCAGGAGTGAGTGTAACAGCAGACTGGTAAACTCAGTGAGAGCATTAAAATAAAAAATAAATTTTGGGGGGCAGTCATTAAAATTTGAAATTTTTCTTCTTCTCTTTTTCTTTTTTTTAATACTTACGAATATTTCCTGCACATGCTTCAAGCTTATCTGTGTCTCCAATAAATAAATTTCCATGTATCTTGTCTGGGACTGATGCTAGACATTTTGTAGCTTGGTGCGATCTCTGCAAGTCTGAAATTTTGTTGCCAGGCGCCTCCCCGAATTGTAAAGATTTATTTTCAATAAATTATCAATAGAAGGCGATGTCACCGAGCCTTCAGCAAGTTCTTGGACCTCTCTCATCATCCTGATCAGAAAGACAGGGTTGTCACTTAAAGAGGAGGATGAAATTCCCCGACTTTTCCAGGTGTGTTTTGAGAAAATTCCAATCTACCCACATAGTGCTCGTTGGCTGCCCGGAGAGGTAAATTAATTATGGTACCACTTGAAAACACAAAAATTTGCCAATTGCATATGACTTATTATATATATATGTAATCCTGAAAGCATTACTATTAGGTGTTGTTTTCTCCACTGAAGATTGAGATTAGAATCTGCCCAGTCTGGATTAAAAAATGAGTTTTTTTTATGAGTTTTATGTTTTTTCAAACAATTTGCTGCTAAACGAAAGAAAGAAAATATATTTAATGATATTTTTAAATAAATTTGGGTATTTTATATTTATTTAGCAGCATACATAAACAAAAATATGTGCATTAAATTTCGTGATAGTATGTCATCATACTGCTAGATGTAGTTTCAGAATTATGCCAGAGAAATTTGCTTGAAATTTGAAAGTATTATTAAATAATAATAAATAAATTTAGAGGAAAGAACAATATTAAATTATATAAATAACATTAAAATGAAGTTAATTACTTAAAAATTGAATTACAATAATCAATGCTATTTTGGCGAATATTAAATGTTAGCCTAGATGACTGATTACTATTTTTTTATTTTACTGCAAAATTAAAAAAAAAAGTGTGAAAGACTTTGCGATAAAATCCTAGTCTTCGCTACAGCCTTTGTACAATTTTGAAAACTGCCGCTAACACCAAAATGACTGGTTGGTACTACCCAACACCTTGGTCAACAGAGACTAAGAGACAGAAAGAGGTAACTGTTGTTACTGTTCATCATAATGTCGCCAAATCCCATGTGTACCGTACATGGAGGTTAGAATAAAAAAATATTTATTAAGATAAAAAAACTTCTAAGCTTGATTAAAAACAAAACAAAACAAAAAAAAAAAACAGGAATGGCTTCGTCCCAACGTAGAGGGAAACAGCTGCGTGCACGAAATATCTGTCGCCGAAGCTCGTGAAGTTCGAAGGTCAAGTTTATCAAGAGTACATAAAGCGAATATCGTTTTAAATTTTCTTAAACTTTAAAATAAAAGAAAATATTTTTTGCACGTGTAAATTAATTAATAGATTAGATATTTTGAGCAAAAAAAGTACGAAAATCCGAGTTTAAGTTATCGCTAAAGTCAAAGAACGTTTCTTAACACAGGCTCCACAATTTCCTATACACATCGTGGAGGGGGAAATTCTCGACGTCAGGTTCCGTCGCCAAATCCCTTGGCAAGTTTTCCCCTCCGCTTTCTAGCAGCACTCTAGCAAAACTGATTTACATTATGTCTATGGAACCTTTCTTTCTTTACATAGACATTCTAACATTAGAACAGAGTACATGGGGGCTGTTCTAGCCTCCATAGTACCGTATATTAGGATTAAACCAATTTTGTTGTATATGAAAATGGGAAGGTATTTTCTTTAGTTCTGCATAACCTGCACATGCGAGTCTTAGGATTCTAGAGGTTGCTGGAAACCAAACTTGCTTTGCCTTTCTAAAAGACAATCTGATTGGAGCTGCGAAAATTGGCTCTATGCCAGCTGCCCAAATGACGCTCATTTGATACATAATTCGCCAATAAAGCCATCTCTTCCAACATTGGTGCAAAACTCGCTTTTTGGAGGATCACTGTATGACATCCCCTGACTTTTCCAGATTTTGACTAAAATATTTAAATTCCCTGACTATTTTGGTCAATTTTCAAATTCCCTGACTTTTTTCGGTTTTCCAGGTAGCGTCATGAAAGGCAGTTCAGCTAGATTTTGCATTGACTATTGCTAGTTGAATGAAATCACAAAGAAAGACAGCTACCTTCTTTGTAGAACTGACGACATTCTGAACACATTTTCTGGATGCAAGTGATTTTCAATGCTTGATTTAAAGATAGAATATAGGCAGATAGAGATACACCTTGATGAGTGAGAAAATATGGCATTTTCTACAAGGCAAGGACTTTGGCAGTTCAAGTTGATGTTGCTTGGATTATGTAATGTGCCAGCAATATTTGAACATCTCACAGAGACGTGCTGAGAGGTCTTTCCTACGAGACCTGTCTGATATACGTGGATGACATCATCATCAGGAAACGTTTTGAAGAACATTTAGAAAATACTAGAAAGGTGCTTCGGAAATTGAAGTAAGTTGATCTAAAGTTATGTCCTTTCAAAAGTAAGTTGTTCAGATAGGAAGTGACTTACCTCTTACATGTTATCTCTGCTGAAGGTGTGTGTATGAATCCAGAGAATTAGTCAGTCGTTAAAGATTTGAGACACCCCGAAAATGTTCATCAGCTGAGAAGTTTCCTAAGGCTTTGCACCTACTGTAGCAGAAGAACTTTTTTTCCATTGCAAGACCCCTTCAAAAACTGACAATGAGCAAGCAGAAGTTCTTATGGACAAAAGAATATGAGGATGCATTTAACAAACTGAAGGACGCTTTAACATCGGAGACATTCCTGACATATTCTCAACTCGATTTATTCTTGGCACAGATACAAGCAATGAGAGTGTTTGAACTGTTTTGTCCATAGAAATAAATGGTCAAGAATGTGTTGTATCATACTGGAGCAAGTTTCTGTCTAAACTGGAAAGAAATTACTCTACAGTATTCTGTTGTTAAAGCTGTAGATCATTTCTACCATTATCTCCATGGCAGAAAATTCTTATTCCACACAGATCATGTATCATTGGCCTGGCTCTAAATTTCAAGAATAGTGAAGGCGAAATAGCCATATGGATAAAGAGACTCCAGAAATTTGACGTCACTATCCTCATCATAAAGGATTTTCACACAGAAGTGCCAACACCCTTTCTAGAAGACCCTATCCAGAAAGCTGCTGATATTGTTCCAGTATAGAAACAAAATATGAGCTGCTGAATCTGGTTATCCATCATGTTACAAATTGAACATTGTCTAACTCAGACCCATTGAATGAAAGAGGGAAAGAAAGTCTGTGCGGGAGATGGTGACATTAAACCCATAACTGGATATTAGGAGATTGTATTTTATGTTTATTTATTTCCTAACAAAAAAATTAAAGTATAGAACAAGCAAAAACATTTTATAAATGCAAAAACGTAAGTTATGCCATTCACAAAAGAGTAATGTTATTTTTAATAGTTCGCTGGCTTTGCCGCAACATCCTCCCCACCCTGGTCAACCTCCAGGGGGATGACTAGCTGCACAAGTCGGGTAATGGTATGTCAATTGGTGCGCAGAACACAAGTACGGACTTTCTTGTCACGGCCAACGATTAGCTCCTCAACACGGGCCTTTTTCCAGGTGTGGCGAGGTCTAACATCTTCTTGTAGTAGGCAATGTCCCCTTTCTGGATTTTATTTGTATTAGATGGATTCCGCACTTGATGAAATGTACGCATGTCCATCAGATATTCCTTTTGCCATCTTTTCCAAAAGGAGTCCATCAAATGTTGACGAGTCTTCCACATACGATTTAAATTTGTTTAAGGATTTGTGGGGCTGGAAGTAGTTAATTTCTTTCCTATGAGGAATTGCATGGATGTTAAAGCTTCCTCAGAGTCATCTTTTGTTCCGTATTCCTGGACAGTTGGTCTACTGTTAAGAGCGGTTTCAATATCACATAATACAGTGATCAAACCAGCGTCATCCAAAAGAGCCTTACCTAATGCTTTCCGAAGGCATCGCTTAATTGAGCCTGTCAGTCTTTTCCATCATCCTCCCCACCAAGCCGCTCGGGGGCGATGAATTTCCATTTGATGTTGTGGTGGGCATAAAACTGTTGTGCCTTTGGCAGAGGATATAGTATCCCACAATAATTTCAGCTCTTTATCCGCAGCGCAGAAAGTTGTGGCATTATCAGTGTACACTGTATGAGGAAGTGAACGTCTAGAGACAAAACGTTGTAATGCAAGTAGGAAGACGTCAGTACGCAGATCGGAAACTAATTCTAAGTGGATAGCTCGAGTTGTAGCACATGTGAAGATGACAATGTAAGCTTTTGTAACGGAAGTTATTATTTTTTACGTAGAGTGGTCCAGCAAAATCAATTCCCGGTAGTTTCGAAAGGAGATGACTTTTGAATTCGCTCAGCTGGTAATGGAGCTTCTATCTGTTCACTTCTCTTTTGTTTCAGTACTTTACATGGAAGGCAAGTCTTTATCACTTTTTAATGGCTTGTCTTGCTCTTAATATCCAATATTCTGAACGAAGCTGAGAAAGTACAATCCGAACACCGAGATGATGCATTCGTAAATGTGTTTGGCGTATCAGTAGGCTTGTAAAAGGATGAGAACCTTCCATAATATGGGATGTTTTTCAGCATGAGATAAATCAGAAAATTGTAGTCGACCACCAAGAAGTATAATATTGTTCTTGAAAAAAGGGTTAAATTGTTTTATCCTTGATTTCTTAGGAAGTGATTTTCCTGTCAACAGAGCTTCATATTCTGAAGGAAAGGATTCTTTCTGAACGGTCTGTATCCAATAAATACGAGCTTCATTCAGTTCTGTGGCATGTAACTCACCCACTAACTTTTTCTTGTTTCCTACAGTTGTGAATAAAGCGAAGAATCCAAGATGTTACACGTAACAATCGAACGTAAGAACTGTAGTTTCCAGCCTTTATGATTGGTTGAGTAGATACGATGTGAAGGGTCTGAACTTTTTCTTTCTTTGCCTCGAAGTTATGACTGTAATCTTTAGAAATAGTATCAGAATGAGGCCAATATTCTAGAGATTTGACTAACCATGGAGGGCCGTTCCACCAAATTTCCAGGTTTTTTAGTGTTGATGGTGAAACACCTCGAGAAAGTTTGTCAGCTGGATTGTCTTTGCCAGGGCAATGTCTCCATTGTGAAGGATTGGTATAGGAAATAATTTCTGTTACTCTGTTGCTAACAAAAGTTTTCCATTTGTTGGGGTCACTGCGTATCCACCCTAAGACAACTTGAGAATCACTCCACAATGTTGCATTTGACGAACAGATGTTTGTTTCAGCACAGAAATATTGCAACAATCGTGCTCCCATCAGGGCCGCCAAGAGCTCCAAACGAGGTAAGGTAACTTTCTTTATAGGAGCTAGTTTGTTG